GTCTGGAGTTCTGGTTATCCTTATTTGCAGACATCAGAGACAACGGGTACTTTGATGGTGGGTTTCTGGACAAAAACCTCCTTCAGTTTTCTTGCATGGGACTCATCCAGGTGAGTTAATAAATTATGTTTTGTTGCGTGTATGGATGCATGCGTGTGTGAGTGAGAGATAAAGGAAACTGAGGAAGTGATAGAGAGGTAATACACGAAGTACTGTGAGAGATGAGATCTGTGCCAGGTTTAGGGAATGGAGAGACCTGCAGGAAGAAAGAGACAAGACAGGGAGAAGAGGTTGAGAGGAGCAGGGAGTAAATGAAATTAAAAATTGTGTAACTACTATAATTTAGGCTTAAGCAATTGGCTGCCTTAAGGAAGAGCTCAACAACCAAGACTACAGTAACATCTATGTTGAAGATGTTGACATGGCATATAAAAATTTCTTATCTATAATATTAACTATTTACAATTTGGAATTATTTTGATTGGAATATCCAAATAACTTTCAAATACAAAATACAATGATCAGTGACATAAAACAAATTGATTATTATGAGGGTAATAGATGAGTCAAGCAGGTAGTAAGGAGTAATGTAAAATAACAACTGTGTGAAACACTTGTACAGATGACATTAGGTAAAGTACATGATTACAAAATTTCACATGATTGTTTAAAAATAATAAATTGCATAAATATAAGAAATCTTCCTCTCAGTGACTGAGTTGTCTCATCGTGATCTGCGTATATGTATATATGTACATGCGTGTGTGTGTGTGTGTGTTGTTACGGGTTCAAATATTGAGGGTGAGCACAAAAACAACACTGGTCCAGGAGAGTTAAGTCAAACAATGATTTTTAATGAACACACGCGTGGGGAGATGAACACTGCACACAGACAGCATTGATCTCCGCCCAATGATACACAAGCAGTTGTTTTTATAACATCAGGGTATTATTTATGACGCCCCCTCATGCGTCAAATTTATTTATATAAATTATTCATTTATAACCTCATGCGTCAAAGCAGATACAATACATGCATAAGTTTCAAAACCACAAATGTTCTGTTGACGACTTTTGACACATTTAAAAGGACATCTTCTCCATAGCGGCTAAGATGAACAGGCACATGGGTCAATACATGAGCGGGGCACAGAAAGGGATGGGCAGGAATACCAGATGCACAAAACACCAGCTACTGGTAGACAGAACAGTCAGCCGAGACTGCAGGACCAGACTGACCAACCTGTGCACTGCCTGGATTGATTACAAGAAGGCCTATGACTCAATGCCCCACAGCTGGATACTGGAATGCCTGGAATTGTA